TTCCTCTCCCTATCTTTTCTAACCTAGGCTTCCTGTGCGGCGAGCTTGCAGCTGCCAGGAAGTTGGTAAAGATTCAGCCGTCGCTGCTCTCAGGCGGTTCACCTAATGGCGTCATAAATGGCGCTACCGATACTGGTCCGTCTTCTGCCGGCATAGAAGATATGGACGATTATCTTCGGCGGGCCTGTATTACCCTGAAGCGGCCGAAACCGCCGGCTGACATCGGCGCCAAGGAGCTCCTAGAAGGACTTTTTAAATCGGTTGGTTTATTTTACAAACATGTCTACTTAAATGATTTCGGTAGCCTCAGTGCTTTACATGTAGATGATGGTCCCGTGCTTTAAGACACCTCAGCACGGCGCATTTTCTGGTAGAATGGACGAGCTTATAAGACAAGAGCTATGGTTTTGCTTTGGGATGGCAAGCTAGTGAGCAATTTAAGGTTGCATGCAGTAGATCAAGAGTACAGTCGTTAAAATCGCCAATACAAGCGAACATTTGAGTCCCAGTAAGGACTTGAGAAGAAGCAGATGCGATCGCTGGAACAAGAACTTGATTAGTGAAAACAGTAGCATCAAAAACACTAACAGAAAAGGATAATTCATAAATAGTTATCCAGCGATCGCATGTGCCCTTTTTCAAACGTAAAAATCCTCGACGTAGGTTTCCTGGATCTGGCCTCTATCTACTGTGCACATTTACTATCACAACGCTTTCTAAGTAATGCTGTCTGAACCCTTGAGCCTGCTTAATTCTACTCTCAATAATTATTAACATTTGACTGAAATAACTCGATCTTGTCATAGTTAGTGAGTAAGATGCCGTGCAAGTCCACGCGCATTTTAATCTAATTCACGCGCTTCACTGTCCGTGCTGTAGAGCACATAGTGGACGTCATCGGAGATGACGGTCAATGTTCGGATGAGAAAACGGAATTTTACTTCTCTCCTCATTCCTCATAGGTGCACATATATCAGATATGCCGTGACTGCTTTTCATACTGATTCCCTGACTGCTCTTAGGTCTCGGGCGCCTTGACAAAGTGTCCCTCAGGTCATCTGGGCAACCCACTGATCCCACTTGAAGGCCTATCGGATAGTCAATGGGTGCAAGTTATTCGTATGGCACGTCTGCTGCAGAACGAATACAACAGCCGCCGAGAAACCTTCATTAAACGCGCCGACTGCACCATCGAAAGTTTCAAGTGGGCCGACAAGTCCAAGGTAAGACCAACCTTAAAAGTACCATCTCTCTCTCTCTCTGTCCCCGCGATCGAATGTTCAAATTACATCTTTAGCCGTGAGCGGAGGTCCGTCTACAATTCCGTACGCTTTTTTGCGCTACAGCTTTTGCCTAAAAGATGACAATTCGAACATCACGGTGTCCACAGTGTATCCCATGAAGTAGTAGACTTTTGAAGCAGCTAGCACACCCTTCCCTCATCCACCTTTGCCTAATGGGACGGCCGAGTCAAAGGGACCATAGGTGAGCTCGGTTGCAGTGGATGTCTGCCACACGCGACGGCGTCATGCGCGATGGGCCAGGTTTGCATAAATACACACGGGGT